TTTTGATGTGAGTTTTGTAACTTTGCAGGGAGATTTTCTGTTTATATTGTTTGGCCTTCTGTTTTGAGTTTGAATAATCTCAAAATACACAAAACACAAGCAGTGAAAAACATTTCTATACAAGAAAAGATTATACTTCAGTTAACTTTTAATCCTGGGTTAACGTTAACCGCCTTCTGAACAACCCGGCCATGATCGTTAAATCTGTTACTTCACAAGTGTTCGGTAATTGTGTTTGTCGATTGATTGCATATTTTGTTCGGGTTCTAGCATTGTTAAATTTATGTGTGCCACAAATTTCAGGGTGGTCCATTTAGGGTAGGCCATGGGTAGTCCATGGACCAGGTCCATTGGGGTAGTCCATGGACTAGGGGTCAGCAAAATGTACCATTACATGGTCAGTATAAATATGGACTGTGGATTGCGGACTGCGGACTGCAGACTGCGGACTTAGGTATAAAACGTGGACTAAGCATTATGTATACAGNGTCGTAACTAATATTACATAATACATGTATAAACCAGAACAAACCCTCTCATGTGTACGTGCTTTGTGATCAATTCATTTGTTTTCACCCATGCTGAAGGGAGGTCAATTTCATGTCTACCTAACAGCCTTGACACAAAATGATGTTCCTAAAATTTTTGCTTTTTTAACATACCAAACCTACCAAAACTCGAACGCACTCTTTAATCTACTATTACTACTAGTTTTCATTGTAGCAGAAATGCTCGGTCAGAGTGTGCGACCAGGATAAGCTTTTACCTGTCAAAACCTCAAATTTAGCGGACAATTATTCGATGACTGACTGTCATTTGCAGGCTTGACAGTGACATGTTTTTGATAAGCATTAATTTTATTTTAATAATTGCCAAAGGTACATTACTTTCAAAAAATTTTGGACATTTAATTTTGGAACGCTTTGCTACAACATAGCTTAGTTAAATTTTCGCCTACAAAACTTGAGTCAGACTGGAAAATTAATGGAATTGATCTCCATTACATGACTTTCTGTGTTCTCATAAAAGAAACAAAAATTTTCCTTTCAGGTGATAAAAAGAACAAGCAAATCCTAATTCAAGTTTTTGCTTCATCATGCTTGTGATGGGACTATCTAAGAAGAAAGTATGTACTTTACAAATTTGTATGTACTTAAAAATTTCAGATGGTTATAAATTTGGACATTTTTTTGTCCGAAATAATGTTTTCTGAAATTTTTTCCAAGTAATGTATATGCAAACTATTTAAATTTTATGTTGTCGTAATAAGGAGAGTAATGAGCAAAGAAAAGTCTTCATTTCATTGAGATGTCCCCCAGTTCAGAGGATTTTAAGCTTTTCATTTCAAGTTTATTTATTCCTGGGTCAATATTAAGAGCAAATGCCCACAAAAATCAAACAAAATCAAATTCTTTGGCAAGGCTAGAAAACTCAAATTCGCT